CAACCTGATATACCGTACTGCAAATGACTTTCGACTAAAGAAGAGTATACCATTTTCAATTGGTGGAACTGAAGTATGCTTTTTAATTGTTTAAATTTGTAGATCAATGATCTAATCCTTTTAGTTACCGACTTAACATGAATATCCCACTTTAGATGACTATCAATTTCAATTCCAAGGTACCTGATATGATTTGCTTTTTCAATAATAAAGGTCTCTTTTTCCTCTGAAATATCTATTTCGTCGAAGTCTGGTTCTGTACTCTTATTACACGAAAATGCTATGTATTTTGTTTTGTTAAAATTAATTGTTAGTCCCATCTCATCAAACCAGTATTTAATTTTTTTAAAATCATTTTGAACCAGCTGTTTTAGTTGGTTCCAATTCTCAGCCTCATATTGGATAACAGTGTCATCTGCGAATGAAGAAATGGTACCTTCTGAATTTAATTTAAGGTCTAAGAAGTAGAACTGTTCAATGTGGTCCTATTTTGCAATTCTCTGCTTCTGTTCGTAGTAAAAATAAAGATCTTTGGTCAACAAATTATTCCTAATACCTTTAAATATGTGTGGCACGTCTTAAATAGGTACAATTTCCATTTGGTTTACTATAAACTCAAAGTACCTACAGTCGATACTTTGCCTTAAAGACTCTTCTTCAGCATCTTTAACTAAACTATTTATGGCTGCACAATTTGCTGCACCTTGATCACATACAGTACATAATATTTTCAATTCAGAATCCTGCCATGAGTTAACATCTTTAATAATTTTTTTCAGTGAAGCTGACTTAATAGGCCCACTGCTAAAAGTATAGTTAATAGGTTGTTTCTTATGCGTAAAAAGGCCTTTAAGCATAAAAACTAGCACATAATTAGCAATTTCAGTCATTCCTGTTCCACCTGTATCAGGTATTCCTTATAGAATATCTAATTTTATATTGTAACTCAAATTAAGTGCTATACATTTCATCAAACATCAGAATGAAGCATTTTTCTTTTGACGACATTGTTCAGTTTTTCTCTTCAATGTAATAAATATCTTACTATTTATGCCAGAGTTTAAATGTATTTTATTAAGCTAATTACCTAATGTACAACTTGAAGGCAAAGCAAAACCTTTGATAAAAAATTGTACCCCCTTCCACTGGCCTTTAACATTGACAATGCCAATAACTGTTGTTCCTCAGTATACCTTTTTCCTCTTGGCTTCAGTCGCTCGTTATGAATTTGCGATAACATAAAATTGTAGGTGGGTTCATATTTCATATTCATATTTCAGTACGTTCTAACCGCTCTTATTAAGATTTCACCTTATATAAAAGTTTGCTGATTTATGTTGTTACGGGTTTTATTCTACCTAAACCTAGACTAGTCTAAATTACCCTAGTTTACACTACTCTAATCATTCTAACCTGTCCTATTTCCTAGCCTACCCTATTGTAAATTATTCTAAACTTACACTAATCTAAACTAAGTTTTTCTATTTTAAACTATTCTAAACTAATCTTAATTATTCTAACTATTTCTATTTTCTATCCTACCCTATCCTAAATTAGTCTAATCTATCCTATTACTATTCTACGTTTAATTATTTACACTATTCTACTTCTAATCTGTTCTACGCTACCCTAAAGTATTCTACGCTTAACTATGTACATTATTCTACTTCTATACTATTCTAACTTACCCTAAGCTACTCTAATTACTAAACTACCCTATTACATACTACATACCTATTCTACTATAACCTATGCTAGTCTCTTTAGTTACGTTTATATAATATATAATGTATATAAATCAATAAAATGGATCCATTAAATAAATTCATAAAATATCCGTTTTTATTACACATTTTGTGGATATAGTATCGGGCTGAAAGTGTGAATTTAATAAATTAATAACTAAGAGGTCACATACCATCATGGGTGAGTTTTTCAAAATGAATTAATATTTCACTTACCTATATTCCCAACAGCCTTCTGTATACATACTCGTTATAATCGTCAATGTTTTTCAGACCTCCTTGGTTCGCTTCTTTCATTCGTTCGTTCCTTCGTTCGTTCGAACTTACAATTTTGCGAAAACGCTTTTATTAGTGGAATACTCATAAATACTATGTGCAAGCTCTCTCCACCTCTCCATATTGAATAGGGCTTCTTCACTCCACCGTTTGCGTGCTAGCAAGATAGTTCATACAATTAGATAGCCCCACCGAATACGAAGTCATTTTTACAGCAATCTGCTACCTAACGATACGAAGAGGAAGCTGCCTAACTGGACATCGTGCTTAGTTGAGTTCTCTTAACCACCACAAGTGGGACGGTTCCTTTTAATCTTATATTTCTAACGAGGATAGGTTGTTTGAAATTCAGCCTACGACAAACATATATTTAAATAGTTGTTTAAATAGACTCAATTTGTTTTGTATATATATATAAAAGGAGATAGTTTTTTCGACCGGAAAATATTTATTTTTAAGTGAAGATAATATCAGGTTGGCGGTCCTAAGAAATAAAACTCTTTTCCTTACTTGCTCAATATTTCGCCATTGTTTAATAGCTTCATCAGGAGCGAACTACAAGATTTTTTAAATGAAACAATACACTAATAAAATAATTTAAAATTACTACTTACAGGATTTGAGTCAATCGAATAAAATTAAAAAAAAAAACATTACACTTAAACAAACTTTCGGACAGTGGACACTTTAAAAATTTAACAGGTTGATAAAATTAAAAATAAAAAGTGTAGACTAGAAATAATTATAGTGAGATAAAACTAAATGATTTTTAATATTGTACAGAGTGATACTTAAATTTTATTTAGAATATTACAATAAATGTTGCTTAGTTGGTTTATGTCAGATTTATAATTAATAGTGTTTTTAGTTTTATTAATGTAGTACATTTCCAGAAATAACCTATTCTTGTATTTGTTTTCTTTTCCTAAAATTTTTATCTCCGTGTAGTCAAACTCATGTCCCGTATTTATATGGTGTTCCACCGCCGCACATGTATTTTTTTTGGTACGGCAATCGCTTTTGTTTTGAGTCACTGTTTGTCTCAACCATTGTCCCGTTTGTCCTATATAACATCCATTGCACCCTGAACAAGGCAAACTGTAAACAACATTGCTGTTGAATAACGTTGGTGTTTTGTCCTTTACTTTTAAGAATACGTTCTTAATCGTTAGCGGATTGTAAGGAGCAATTTTTAAATTAGGAGCATTATTTTTGAACAGGGGTGTAATACGATGACTTAACGAGTGTATTAGAGGAATTCTTTTATAAATGAAGGTAGTTGGTATATCTTCATCTGTGGGACCATCGTACAAGTTAGTGTTGTATATTAACTTCTTTAAGATGTTCTTTGGATACCCGTTGTTTACAAAACTGTCAAAAAGCTTCTTGAAATTGTCTTGAATAAAGTTATCATCGCTGATGTGTGAGATTCTATTTTTCATAGTAATTACAGTATTGAATTTTTGATTTTTTGGATGGTTAGAATAAAAGTTTAAAAATCTATCAGATGCTGTTGGTTTTTGGTACCAATTTAAACTTATTTTTTGTGCTTCGGTAGGTATTACTTTGGTATCTAAGAAGGGCACAGAACATTCATTCTCGGTTTCTATTGTGAACTGTAATCTATCATTGAAGGAATTAAATATATTCAATGTTGTTTGTATTTTGTTGGCTTGAACAGCGCTGATCATATCATCTACGTATTTATACAAGAAACGTAAATTAAACGGTAACATTGGAATTACACTATCGAGTAACTTATCTAACACTATTGTAGCTAAAATAGGATCAAAATAATGCCCTGTATAGCGTTGTAAGTTTACCCTCCTTGCCTCTTTAGCTCAGATGATAAGAGAGGGGTATAGTGAGGGAATGTTTTCTAAATACATTTATTAGTTATTTCTAGAAAAAAATGAAGAAATGGGGGACCGGTTAAGAACTTTTTGCTTGTTTCTATTAAATGGCACTATCAAAAATGAAGGTGCTGTTTAAAAAAACTCGTGATGATGATGTCATATTTCGAAAAATGATGACACGTCATAAAAAATATACTTATATCAAAATATGCTCATCTAAAAAACAAAATCCACTTCTAAATGGAAATGGACTAATAATTATGTCCGTGATGTATGGAAACCAAAGGTTGAACATTTCGGTGTTAATCGTTTTTTTACCCCCACTCCCCTCCACCCTCTAAAATCACCTTAAAAGTTAATTTAAAATAAAATTGTTCAAGTAAAGTATTTGGGATCAAATTAGGAGGATTTCAGAGCATCTGTATTTCCTCCTCCCCCACCCCGAATTTCCCAAGTCCTTCCTCTAAGAACATCTTGTAAATATGCAATTAAAAAATATAGCTCGAATATAGAATTCCGTGTTTGAACGCGTAATTACTAATTTCCGTGTTTTAATACGGAATTCCATGTACGAAGAAAAAAATCTGTAATTCCTTGTTCAAACAGGGAATTCCGTATTCAAACACGGAATTCCTTGTTTGTATTTCGAATTTTAGATTTCCGTGTTCGAAAAGGGAATTCCGTGTTTGAATACGAAATCCCGTGTACGAACAAGGAATTCCCTGTTCAAACACGGAATTCCGTATTCAAACACGAAATTCCATATTCAAACACGAGATTTCTTTTTTGAATACGGAAAGCTGAAATTCCGTGTTCGACACGGAATTTCCGTTTTTGACACGGAATTTCCGTGTTCAAACAAAGAATTCCTTGTACGAATAAAGAATTCCGTGTTTTAATAGGGAATTTCGTGTTTGAACACGGAATTACAGATTTCTCTCTTCGTACAGGGAATTCCGTATTCAAACACGGAAATTAGTAATTCCGTGTACGAACAAGGAATTCCGTGTGCGAACATGGAATTTTATAAATAAAAAAAAAATTAAAAAATGTGGCCTTTCTACGCAAACGTACATTTGGATCATAGTGTATATAATATAGAGTAGAATGTCATACCTACATTTTACGGCATTACTCTATAAGTATTGTAAACTAATGTTTTTATTCTAGACCAATTAATATTATGGAAACGATCGAAATATTTTTCAATGAATTTAAAACATTCGTCTTTTTTAGGAAGTTTTCTTTTTTTAATGTGATTTTTGAAATACTGTAAAACAGTAGCTTTTTGTGCCTTGGTCCACTGAATTCTTCTTGGTTGGCTGCGAATAAGTTCTGACACTTCAAGTGAGCTTGTAGAAGGGATCGGTTCCTGAATACAGTTTTCTTTTATTGTATTATTTGCTTCCATATCCACTTCAATATTTGTTTCAAGATTCGCTTCAATATCTGCTTCAATACGAGTATTTGAATCAATATCTGTTTCGATATCTACTTCGATATCTGCTTCGATATTTGGATCTTTTAAATCACCGAAAACGTCATTTTCAGTTATCTCAATTTCTTCTAATTTTTTTCCTTTAAAAGTTTCTCCTTTTCCTGCATTCATCAATAACAGGACTTTAGCTACTTTGGCCGTTTGGTAGATATCTTCGGGTAAACTAAAATAAACCGAAAAAATTTCTTGTTGACAAAGACTTTATGTGTAATACACGAATAGGTTGGTTCAATTCAAAGCCTAAGACAGATTTTTTTAAATTTTCTATTAACGTGTTTTCATCATTTTAGGGGTTCATAAAAACTTGTCGGCATTTCGTAAGGCTAATTTTGAGATTTTATTTCCAAAAATAACAAAAAAGTTTCTAATTGAAATTGTAATTTACTCTAACAATTGGAAATACAATTGTAGCTACAGGGAGGCCAAACGAAAATATGAGGCTTTTGGGTGATAGTAGGGTAGGTGTAAAGAAACGCTCGGATCAATCAAATTATTTTCCAGGGGACATCTTTCTATCCCATATACAAATTACACACTTCACATCCCTTTATTAAAATTTAGAGGGGAATAAAAAAGTATGAATAAACGCAATCCTAATCACCTATTAAAAAAAATGATTATCTACTCTAAATTTTAATAAAGCCAATTTTACTAGTTATGTAATTCCCTAACCTAAATAACTCCATATTATACTTCAAGCAAATTCAATAGAGTATAACATACTTTTTGATTATTTAAGTTAGATTTTAATTTATCTAGAATAAGATTATGTACCTAGTGCTGTGAAATTCTAATGAAGTTAGTTTTTATATACCAGATACTTTACGAAAATGCGAAAATGCGAAATAATTTAAAAATCAATGATTTAAAATTGAAAAAAATAAATTTGGAATTTGGGCTAAAGAACATACACTGTGTAGTATAAATAGGTGAATATTCAACCTATTTATATTACACAGTGTATGTTCTTTAGACCAAATTCCAAATTTATTTCTTTCAATTTTAAATCATTAATTTTTAAATTATTTCGCATTTTCGTAAAGTATCTGGTTTACTATTAATATTAAAATAATCATACTATCTCTATTTCTTTTTTACTTTACTCTTACTCTTTCTACTTCTTCTTATTGTGTAATTATATAAGTAAATTTGATCATTTCTTTAATTTTTAACTGATAATGGGGTCTATTCTGTAACAGTTCCTTTATATTTAACGGCCTTTAAAAATATTGGCGGCCTTATAAATATGTTCGTATTCGTTAATTTACTTCTGTCATTATTTAAACAGATTTCTTTAAGATAGTCCTCTAATGTATTTTAACGATCCGTTTAAATAATGACAGAAGTAAAGAAGAAAATATTTTTAAATGCCGTTAAATATAAAGGAATTGTTACAGAATAGACCCCAATACCTCATTTTTCATGTATCATCAATGGAACAATTCACAACTATTTATTAATTAAATAAGCATGTAATTTTTTTTATCATCACTTCATTATTTATTATTTTTTATAAATTATTTTAATTCAATCTTTAACTATAGTTACTAATTACTTATATAATTTATAGCTGGATTTTCTAATCTAAATTTCAATAATATTGTAAATTCATTTTATTACATTGTTTTCTATTCATTCTCATACTCTATTTAACTGAAGAACCATTAAATCTTAACAAATCTTTTAATAATTACCAATTAATATTCATATCTTTTATGTGCATTATTCATGACATATTTATTTTTCTTTTTTTATCCCAAAATTACTGTCTTAAAGGAAATTTCAATTTTTTTAAAATTTAAAAATAAGAAGTTTTACAAGCTGTGGATCAAGTTACTGTCATCAAATTTGGCGATGTCCAACTTTCCTATGAAGACAGTGTTATCAATTTATGCCAACACCCAAAGTTACAACGTTTGTCCATATATTTTAGAATATTACTGGCTATTAGCTATTATAATGAGCAAAATCGAGTTGTTTTACAAGAGAAAATAGAATATTTTCTAACAAACCGAAATTATACCAAAAGACACCTGTTTTACCGACATGAAAATGAAAGATTTTCTGAACATCAACCCCAAAAAGGTATCGTTTTACTCAAAATAGAAAATTTTCCGAAAATAAACCTTCATACGAAGATAGACTCACCCGATTTAATAGACCATTACCAAAAATAGAATGCCCAATAAACAACTCTAAAATTTTTAATGAAATAAGTCGATTTTTTACGCTCTTAAATGCACGTACAGTAATAATGCATCTTTGTTGATGTTCATGAATGACAGTTTACTTTTTTTTATTACTTCATACTAGAAATAACAATTATACAACTAACAAATTAACATTTTTATTTAAAAATGTTAACTGCACTTGAAACATATGTTATTATTAATAATAAAAACTGTGTATTTATTAATTATATATTTTTAAATCTACATTATTTCCTTTGAGGTTTAAGGAATAGAAGAAAAAATAACATTTGTGTATTTATTAATTTTTAAATAAATATATTTTTGATGATTTTTTGAATTGTGATAGTAATCTAAAACATTTTTCTATTCTTAGAAAATTTTTTATTTTGGTGACCTACTAATTTCACTTGATTAGAATGTTAATATATTTTGATAATGAAATAACTTCCTTTAAACAATTATTTTTACATTAACCTTCAAATTATTTTATTAATAAAATTTTGGATAATTATCGATTTTTTATTCTACTGCTTCACAATGTTTGACCTTCAATTTTTTAAGAAAATAATCTAATTGTATTATTCTTTGATTGAATGCCATATTGTACAGACATGTAAAAAAATTTTCGGTGTTGCTTTAAAGCTAGTATTCGGAAAATGAGTGATGTTTCATTAGAGGTGATAGAAAAATTCTAGTATTCTTTTATTTCTACCTCTTGGAATAGTTATGATGAGTTTTAAAAGTGATAGTTTATTCATGATTGACGGTAAGTACTTTGTAAAATGTGAACGACATGTTTCGCTGGTATTACCAGTAATTTATTTTCAAAAATCATATAAGTTAGGTTTTTCTTATTTATAAAGTGGCGCTGGACAATGATGAGGTTAAATTTAAACATTTAAATGGATAGCCCTGTCATTGAAATGGTTCGGAAAAATGTGAGTGTAAAAATTAAAACTTTTAAAATGTGATGTTAAAGTATTTATTATTATATCTAATGTGGTGCTAAGAAATGAATTCTAAGATAAAAATCTAAATATTTAAAATGTTAGGTTAAATTACTTGTTACTATTTTTAAAGTGGACATTATTTTTTTTCTAACTTAAGAAGCGTATGCCTCTTTCTACTGATGTTGTTCCAGACTGACTTGATTTCATATATTAAAGGTTAGGTGAAACAATTGAAACGTTAATATATATACCTGTAGCACAAACAGGGGTGGTTAGACCTAAACATTTTAATAAATAAAACTACTAAAGTTGTACTGTGCAATAAATTCTTAATCATTTAAGCTGGACGTTCTTGGTAATGTTCAAAATGATCTACTAATTCTAAGGAAAATTAATATTGACTCTTAATTAAGTTAAAATCCTGCTAACCATCCAAACTCTAGACTTTTTTAATAATTATTAAAAATAGTTTTAACCTTTGACCCTTCTTACATCTAACATTCAAAACACCGAAACTTACAATATTTCCCATTCAGGGGTTAAGATATGTAGGTTGGTTGGTTGATGAGACGAGGAGGATGCGCAATGGTGCCGATGAGACCCAAGTGCTATTGAGGGGCAACCCCCTTCCCTAATTACAAGCCTATATTATAATTTGATTTTTTGAAATTTTTAAGTGTTGATGCGGGCAGTAATTAACTTCACCAATCGATAAGTATGAAATCTGTATTACCGGTAATAACAATATCAGACCTTTGAGTCTTAAACCTTTTAATACTTATAATCCCGTTAAACTTTAACACCCCTAACCTAAGTTGCAAACCCCCCAAACTGTAGACTTTTTATTAATTATGTAAAAATACTTGGTTAAATTCTACAATTTCACCAGAAAAAACATCAACAAATTAATATTTTACATCTACTAAATAAATAAACAATTCTCAAATAGTTCGACTGCTTTTTACGCTAATATAATGTGAAGTCATAAAACTATAAATAGCATTTTTCTCAGAATACCGAACGTCGAACACCTGTTTTTCAGGTGCTCAGCTGTGCAGTGGAACAAAATGAGTGTCCGGCGCATAGTTAACGAACCACAAATGACGTATTTCATTATGTCATGATGTTTTCATTGGTTGAAACCGAATAGGTGCGTCAACTATGACCCGGACACTCATTTCGGCCCAACAGTATATATTAGGGTGAGCTCGACGCGAACAGTCGATCAGTTGCCTTGTTGTCATCATCGCTCACAGTTGTCTTTGCCATCCGGACGTTCAGGTGCTTTCTGCCGACGGCACGTTACTTTCTACATTTTTACAAGCGTTTAATGCATTTTATTTTCTGGTGAAAGTTATATCTTCTACAATTATTGTGGCATAAGAAATTCTACAAACAAATGTTTTCAAGTTGGTAACTAAAAAATCAACTGTATTAGTTAATCAAATTGTGATGAACTAAAATTGTAAATATTTAAAACTGTTTAGTGAAGATAAGAAAATTATTATATTTAAATGGAATCAACCATTATGTATTTACTTCAGTGAAAATAGTAAATTAAAAACACTTCTTTTTCTACTACCTATGACTCGTTAGTTATTTCTACAAAAGAACCCAATTCTTCTAACACCAGCGACATATGCTACAGAACATTTTTACCAAAGAAATATTCGGAAGTAACAGCGGTATTTTTTCAATACTTTTAATCTTTGACCCTTCTTATCGTACACCCCATACCCCAACCTATTAATTGATGAAAATCTCTTACACCTAACATTCATTAATAATTTTAACAAGGAGTTTTCTCTTCAACATTAATCTAAACCAATGTCGTTTTCCCTGTTTAAGCCCGACTAATAATAATCAAGATACATGCTTAGGTCCTTCCGGCTTCGCACGATTTTTCTCCTTAGCGTTAATAAAGATTTAATTCCCCAACACTCCCCCGTTTTCCCCGTTTGAATCTGAC